TGGGTACTAAGAAAAGCATGGACCTGGCAAAGCACTCGTTCAGCATGACTGGATATGCTATTTCAGCTTGGGGGCCGAACAAAGTTTCAGACTGAAACACTTTGGTGAACGTAAGACCCCAACTCCACGCACTGGTTCAGCATGTATATGTTGTCGGATGCCATTGATTAATCATAGATGAGAAGCATGTGAATGCGTTTTGAGTTTTGACAATTTAGCAATAATATAGTCTGCTCGCGACCGGCTTGCAATGGATAGGATGTTTGATTTTCCGGTTTACTTTTCAAGTTTAGTTAGCCTGTTTTGGGTAAGCACAACTTTGGTGTCAGAAGTATCTGTCTGTGTTTGGGGTTCATTCCTTTACGGATGAATGGTGTTGTACTGCTGTTCCTCTAGAATTTAAATGGACGGATCATTAGGTTTTAGCCATGAACTGGATAGAATTTTATGTGATCACTGCTTCTTTATTATCATTACTAGATCTTGCCACTTTATATGAATTCATCATGAAAAACTGAGTTAGTGTTTAAGTTAATTTAATGGTCATTTTATATTATTCACTTCTCATAAAAAAACTATACGGGTGGTTCCTTATGTTTTTAGTCCGTCTAATTTTAGTCATTGGTAAAAAAAAACGGTTTTGGTCTCTTGCGTTGGCCCGTTCAGTTTTAGTCTTTTTCTTCTTTCGAAAACCCATTTAAGGAGCTGGGAAAGCTGTTGATCTGACTTACTGGGAGAGTGCTGCTCATATGATTGCTGATGTATCGAATCTAACAAGATTGTGGTTGAGAAATCAACTGTTCCTGTTAATACAGCTGAGGCGATAGAGAAAATTGTGAACCACAGTAGCAAAGGCATTGATTTTCAGAATGGATAACAAAGCATGGAGGTATGATCATTTCTACTCTGGAGCTCATAGTAAGCACTGCAAGAATGCCAAGAAACATGTTTTGTACAGTTATATGCCTTTAACTCATAAGTAACAGGATAATAAACACAAGAAGTTTAGCAGAATAATAATTTTAGTGTTAATTCAAGAAGAGCATGAGGGAGCAAATAGCCTACCAAATGTAAAAATTCCTCCCAAGGATATATTGCCAAGCCATGCTTCTTAGCTTCTGCCTTGTGCTCAGGTGTTACCTTCCCAAAACTAACAATGCCTGCATAACAAACATACATGCACATAAATTATTTGTAACACCCTATAAAAGCCCTGCCCCCACCCCCAAACCAAAAATAAATAAATTAAAAGAAAGGTTTTAAACAGTTGAAAGGGAAAAGAAAATCTTACATGAGAACCCAAAAAATCTGTGAATTTACAGATTTTCAATTCAAAACCAGCTATTGCAAAACTGAGCAGCATGCATAGAAGTAAATGTTGATGATAAGAAAACAATACTAGGATTTCAAATATAGGCGTAAATATGCATATCTCATTAATCTTCTTTTCCTCTACAAAAGCAATAGAAACTTGTGCATGGCATATGATCAACTCCACAGCACCAGCACCTATAAATAGATAACAAAGGATCAAATCAAGCATTCATAAACAGTAGCAGCTGTGTTGAAATGCACGAATAAGGTAAAGGGATGTTCATGATATCCAAAAATGAGGAAGCCTGTATCAATGTTGTAGCATTAGTAAACATTTTGGTAGCAAAATGAATGCTACACAGAAACAAGTTATAGTGTCATCTAAGTAACTGGAGATGTCTACTCCGCAAATCATACAAAACATGCCAGAAATGATCATACCTGCATGCTTATTATCCACTCTGGACAATTGGCACCAGAAATACCACATTTTCAGATTGGTTTGGAGAAGAAACATGGATTTTTTTTTAATTATCAACTCAGATTTCCGTAAATAAGAGTTAACAGTTGAGGGACTAAAATCGAACGGACCAATAACGTAAGCATCAAAACTGCTCTTTTTTTGAACTAGTGACCGAAATCAGATGGAACAAAAACATAAAGGATCATCTGTATAATTTACCCTAAAAAAATATATAGCGAATATAGTTGTTATTCTTCTAAACTTGAGCAAAAAAAATAATCAATAATACAGTGTAAATCTGAATGTGGCAGTTAAGTAGTAAGGTGACTATTATTTTAATATTTGGAAAAGAAAAATGAAAGCCACCTAACAACAAAACAAAAGAAATAACGGAAAATCAAAATATTTGATTTTTTTTTGTCTGTTATATTAAAATAATAATTTTGATTCCCAGTCATTGACTTGTAATTGTGGGCCGCATTGTACATCCGACGGTATGCATTACGATGGAGCAATCTACGAAGCCGCCGTTCAGATAATGCTAAATACGTTGCTTATTGAATCTCATCAGAGGTTTGATTATAATTATGATTTTACAGCAACCTTGAGAAAGACAGACCGCCCATCTACAATGTTTGGATTAACACACGAGTAAGCTCTTTGTATGGCAAAACTCTTGTTCTTTCGTATGTTTGAAAACCAAATATCCATTATTGTTACACTTTGTATGATTCACATCTAATTTTGCTTTGACCGAATTTGATGGTTGTACATCATTTTTGCAATATATAGAAACAACAGGCAATCGAGTAGTTGGAAATCGTGTATATAGTGGGCGTGCGTTTATTTAAAGAAGGAATAATGATGAAGAACAAAATTAATTAAATTAATGGCAAAATTTTAGTAACACGCTGAGAAACGTCACCACCTGAGCCTCCATTTCCAATCAGTGCAAAGCAACAGATAGCAGAAAGAAAAGAAAAGATGATGGCAGTGTTGTGTATATATATAATAATAAGACACATTGCATTACGTTGGGTGCTTAGGACTCGAATTGTTTTCCTTCGAAAGTTTGGCCGAAGTTCCAATTCTTTGGAGCAACATTGTAGGATGTGAGTGTGAGGCCGTCACTACTAGTGACCTCAAACGACAGTGCCTGATTCCTCAGATCAGAATTTATATGCCAATTCTGTCCCCAATTCCGGCCCATCTGCAACCACCCAGTTCTCGATCCCTTTATCTTCACTGCAACTATGTCCCCCGCTCCTGCAACGTTGCTTATGAGCACCGACACGAAGATCCCCGAACCATCAATAGTAAATCGAACACCTCCTTCCTTTCTGCACTTTATTCTGTTTTATACCCAACCAACAGATGTTTTAAGCGAAAGAAAAGACTGTTAATTAACCCATTCAAGACAGAGAATTCCACATGACACTACAATACAGTCCCCAGCCTTGGGTTTTGCCTAAATTGCAGCTTTACCTACCTGACTTGGTGGTGTTAATTAAAATCAAAAGGAGAAAATAGTTTATATGAAATGTGGGAAGAGTTTGTTATGTTACCTTTGGTACTGAACAGGTATGTTGCCAGCTTTCCAAATGGCTATCTTTTCAAAAGATTCAATGGGAAGCACAAAGTGTTTGTTGGGGGGATTACAACGGCCTCCGCCCTCCGCCGTGAACCCGTAGTTGGGAGCACAGAAATTGGTGGCGGTGACAATGATAGAGGTCCCAGGTATGCACCATCGCAGGTCATCCACGCACCTCAGCTCGAAGCACGCGCCGCAGATCTGTCCACGCTGAAAGAAAGCCTCGCTCAAACCTGCCGTGGCCATGCCGTAACCAGCCTTGACGAGGTCCCCATACCCGCAGGCACCACTCACGGCGCCCTGAGGATCCGAAGCTGCGTAGTAAGTGGCGCGTGCGGGATGCCAGAGGGAGGACTGCGACGGCGGAAGGGTGGAAGAAGAGGAGGAGTAATGAGAAGTAACGGTGGAGAGGAGTGTAGCGAGGAGGAGCGAGAGGAGAGGAGCTGCTTCAGTTAAAGACATTTCTCGAGAGACAGAGACAGTAAAGAGGAAAGTAGAAAGAAGCAGAAAACATTAATTAGTTTGGGTTAGTGGTCTGAATGAAAATATGCAAAAGTAATGCAAATAAATAATTACTAGTGCTTTTTTCCGGTCTTCTTTTCTTGTTTTGGGCCATCTTTTTTATTTATTCAAAAAGCACATGGGGGTTTGTGCATCACTCACTGATCCAGTTTCATTCACCACTCAAAAATAAAATTTTGTTTTATTTATTAAATCACTCTAATTTATTTCTTGTTAGAGTCAATTATAGGTTTGAGTCTGATTCATCACTTGCTAAAGGTACACTTTTTTTGTCCTGTTAAAATTTCGAGAACAAGCATAAATTCCCTGCATCCCATACTCAATACCTTGTTTGCATAATTTTTCCAGGTGATTAAAACAAGACACCGAGTCAGTGCTTTAGCATTGCAAATCACCATGATTATAACTTAACGTTGCAACCCATCTGTTGAAAATTGATTCGATTGGCATTTCACAAAGAAATCAGCCATTCTGTTGCTCGACTCATCTCCATTGGTGGGCTTAAAGTGGAAACCGGAAACCACAGTTCATTGCCTCCATGACCTTAAGATGGAATGTTTCATACAGAGCTGGCTGAACAAAAGCACCCTTTGTATCAGCGATGCAGCGGTAGAGTTTGCCATTTCTTTTCCGGCCGCTATTCATCTGAACTGGTCCTTGAGTTGATGCTTCTCTATAAGTGCATGCATCATTCTCTAAGCTTCCTGCGAGAATTTGAATGACTAAATTAGAAATAATTGATAAATTCAATTATCAAAATGAATTTTTAAAACTTTTACAATTAAAACAAAAGAAAAGAATTGAGTGACGATCGTATAAGAAAAATAATTTGAAGTATGGGTAGAAGGGATGAAATGTAAAACTTGCGTTTTCTCATTCAATTTAATCGATAATGATAGCATTTACAAAATATAAGATAAAATAGAGAATAAAAGAAAAATAAATGATTTAATTTCCTTTAACAATTATAATAAAAAAGAAATGTTCAATTTTCATACTAAATTTGATCAGAAACGCATTCCCCATATTTCCATTTTCCGTTGCAAATTTCAGACCAAAGCTCAACTATTAGATTTTGCCTGCTGAAAAATTGGCCTTTTGTCCACCTACAATGAAATTTACATCTCTCTATCCAATCGCATTTTATTTTAACTGCAAAAATCAAAACATTGTTTCACTGCAATTTGTTACATTAAATTCATTGGTCTATGAGAATCAAAATCCAGGTATTCCCCGTTTGTCTGGCCACCGTAGCCATACATATCAAACACCCTATCATCTGATGACATGTTTACGCCTTCCCTCCCCCTGAATGCCTCCATCGGTGAAGCCCAAGCAGCAGGAGTTGACGGGTTGGAGCTTGACCCTTCTTGATTCAAACCCAGCACGCTTGGGTTCTGAGGTGAATTTCCGGCAGGTCTTTTGCCGGAGGAATTGGACGTCAGAGATATAGATGTTGACTGTTGCTGTTGCATCTGCTGCTGATTCTTGATTGGCGACTTGGGACGCAGTGCCTCAATATCTGGGGTTGTCTTCACTAAATGAGGTGCATCCGGCGGCGGATTTCGTCCTCCCCCACCTTGCCACACTTTACCATCCTTGTCAGCAAAGTTTCTATTATATGCCTGGAGATCAACAGCAGAAGACATGAAGCTTATGATTTTATGCTCCACATGATTTTTATGTTTTGATTGATAGAACCAATCATCATCAAAGTAAAATGTATACGGGGTTTTTATTCTAAAGGGTTTGTATAGCTCTGTTTGAGTTTCACAGCAGTCAAATGCTATGTTACTCTCGACTTTTGTATTGAAGTATCCGTATCTGGAACTCATGTCCGACATATGGATATGAGGATACGACTCCCAAAGACCCTCCAAATATATGAAAAAACTTGGAAAATCTGATTATACCAGTATCCAACAAACCTAAGTCTAACATAGATTAGATGGTCATCAAAACACTGCTTTCATTTATACATACAATGCAAAGAACCTTTTTCCTTTTCTCTTTGGAATGTTTTGTATCTCATATAGCAAGTTTACCATTTGAAAGGATCAACCAAGATAAAAATAGTTCAACGATCATTGTCAATCTTGTTTCTAAAAGATAGCATACCTCTGCATTAAAATTTGATGAGGACAGTCCTTTACCAACAGTCAGCCAACCAGATCGAATATTGTGATCTTCACCGAAAAGCTCAAGCCTTCTGCGGCCAAGAGCAAAATGCTCAATAATTCGATACATATCTTCAGGCTTTTGAGTTGAACCTGCAGAACAGTTGGCACGAAAAATTTAAACAATTTCTCATCTACACAATTGACATTGCAAAATCAGGGAGTACACAATAAGACATTATCAATAAGTATTTTCCATCCAAAGCAAATAGTTGAGATAAAAATCCCAAAACACGAATACCCAATCCTTTCCAAGACTATGATTTGACTAGCAGAGTTATTTTTACTGCACTTATAATCTTTTTAACGAAAGGAAAAGACCATATAAATCTCAAACTGATCCATCAAACTTAGTCTCAATTGATTTGCAAAATTGCAAAGAAAGAAGTCAATATGCATATATCAAATGGTTGGATAGAAAAAGTCAATAAAGTAAACAATATGCATAAGTACTAACCATAAGAAGGTTCCTCCGCAATAATTACATCAGTATCAATGTTGGCATGAATTATATGACCATCAGTACTACGTCGAACAGTTCCTTTTATACCCATCAGGCAGTGTTCCTTCAGTGAAATAATGTGGGGTCCGTTTAGGAAAGAGTGCAGGGGTTGCAGATTGCTCAAGAAAATTCTATGAAAACAGAGTATAAAAGCTTTAAAACGTGGAGGGGGAACCAATATTACAAACCTTGGAGTGCTGAAATATAGAATGAGAATCATGACGTAAGCTTGGGGTTGAATTTGTTTTGTTAGTCTTCACCCAGCATATATCTTCACACCTCCGGAAACCCCACTGCAACACATAGAACAAGCAGCCAAAATATAATGCTATTACACCTATAAATTCCGTTAGTGCTAAAGGCAAAGAACAGCCAAATCGTATTCGAGCTAAATTTTAATCGTGTACCTTCTTTAAGCACTGACGACCCTGCTCAAGTCCCACACCATCACCCACCCAAAGGAAGAGAAAGGATGGAGTGTCAGCTATTGCCTACATACATGAAGTAAAAGCAATAGGTACATTTCTAGTTGGTAAAACGCTCATAGGTTAAAAAAATAATATGAACATAAAATAATAACTCTGATATCCATAAGCTATGTAGAGAGAGCCTGCATGGATGCTAATATATAAGAGACAGCAATACTAGAGATGTTAGCATTAAAACACTACCTGCAAGAATATATAACCGTATCTTTCTTTTCTTTTTTGGTAAAAGGTAATTAAAAAGAACGTGATGTAGAAATTGATTACCTCAATCTTAAGATTCATGATCTCTTCAAATGTCCAGTATTCAATATGGTCAGCAAATCCAGGAGCCCGGTGAACATATTCTTCCCAAGGGGGATCTATAAGAATAACATCAAATTTTGTCCCAAAGAAATCAGGAGACAATTCAAATTCACGGAGGTCACACTTCATATACATGGGAGGAGAGGCAGATTTAGCTACAATCTCATCCTTTTTCTGTATAAGCTCCCTTAGCTTTGGATAGTCCTCCACAACATTGGTAAGCTCTAGCTCCCTGATGAAGTTCTGCGGTCGCATACCAGTATCAACAAAATTTTGTGAATAATCATTTTGTTCTCCTCTTGAAGGAGCTTTACCAGGAGGACCACCCGTTCTAGGAGGAACCCAACCCCCAGATGTTCTCTCAGGTGGTGTTCCTCGTCCCATTGCCCCTGCCCCATTAAAGCTAGCCATAGACACATTTGAAGGTCCTCTTCCAGGTCCTGACTGATTAAAGTCCATACCAGGGTTTGGCAGACCTCCCATATTATGAGGGAACCTTGGTCCAGGGGGGACAGGAGAGAAACCAGGTGGAACACCTAGCATATTCATATCAACTGCTCGAGGCCCATGCCATACCACAGGCGGGGAAAACGGTGGAATGAAGACACCTGGAGAAATTGGAGGGCCAGGAGCAGGAGACATACTAGGGTTAATTTGTTGCATGGGTCCAGGTGGTGGCATCCCGAGATGGGCAAATGGTGATCCCGTCATAGGTATGGCAAGACCAATCTGTTGATTGTCCCTCCCTGAAGACCTTCCTCTTCCTCCTCTGCCTATCCTACTCCCTTTCATGCCTTGAGGAGGAACACGGCCAAAAGTTCCTACATCCTGATTCCCGTAAGGTGGTTGAGACGCCGCACTAGAATTTTGGCCACCAAACCCAAGGCCAGATAAGGTAAGTTTCTGGCCTCGCCATTTCCCTCCACCGTAATCAAGTTCATCATTCAGGACATTTGGATCTTGTGCTGAATTACTTTCCTCTGTATATTTCTCCCTTGAACCTTCATCCAAGGGACCAGAACCATATGCATCACTCCTCCTTCCTCTATTTTCTTGCATATATCCCCACTCTTCCTCATTTGGGGCAGACTTAATGTCAGACTGCTGACCAATTTCAGTTTTCCGGGGAAAGTTGGATCCAAACTCGGCTCTTCCATAATCAAGAGGCTTGGTTTGGATCTCTATAACATCATAATTATAATTTGAGATTCCAAAATTTGATGACGTTTTGAAAGCTTCACCTCGATTTCCATCTTTTCTATTTCCTGGCCGACCATGAGGCCTTTCATTTTCATTCTTTTCCCGGCCATGCCTTGGCAAATCCCAATCTCTACCACGATCATATGCATTGTCTCCATCTTTGGACTCTTTATCATTATTACTCGATTGCCTCCTTTTCCAGTTTTCCTTTGAATCTTCTCGGTCCCTACTCCTGTCACTCCAATTATCAACCCTGCTTTTGGATCTGTCATCCCTTTCAAATTCTTTTGTTTTGAGTTCCAAGCTTCTTTCAAAATCCATCTCAGAGGGATCTGATTCTTGATATCGCCTACTACTTCTCTCAGGGGTCCTAGACCTGTTTGTTTGCCCTCCTTCTCTTGAAATTTTGTCCCTCATAGATGCTACCCCATCATCACCCATATTGTATGTCTTTTCTCGGCTATCAACATCTCGACCAGGAGTTCTCTGCTGTCTGTGCTTCTCAATTTTCTCCCTACCTGATCTGTCTTCACGATTCAATGGACTAGGTCTATTGTCTTCTTCTAGGGCATCTGATCCACCTTTGCTCTTCTCATCATCAATTCTTCTCTCATCCCTACTGCTGGATTTGGCACTCTTCTCATTGTTTGAATCAGCAGCAATGCTTTTAATCTCACTAGGCTCATTTCGAGCAGAAGCACTATTCTCTCTAGCACTGTCATACTTCAGACCAGAATTTTTCCCACTAGTCGGATCAGGTTTTTCATAATTACTTTCTTCAGCTTTCTTGGAAGCATTCAACTCATCCCATCTTCTTTTAGAGTTTCTTGACAATTCAGAAGAGCCATGACCCTTATCACGGCTGCTTTCCCTCCTTTCTGAATACCTAGAATCTCTATCGAGTGACTTCTCAACTTCTCCATCATGGGACCTTTCTTCTTTGCTTCTACTTAGTTTCCAGGCCACCTTCTTTCTATCAGTTTCATCAGCCCAAGCATTTCCTTTACCAGAAGATTTCTCAGCACCATCTTGCCTGCTTTCGGGTTCTCCATCCTGGTACCAACTACTCAATTTCTCCAAGGAACTTTCCTCTTGTTTTCTTCTGATCTGCTTGGAACGGGAAGGTTTTTGTGCATCACAATCCTCTTCGTCGGTATCAGCTCTAGTGGAAGCACCTGATCTTTTACGGCTCTCACTTCTATCCCCAGAATTTCTCCTCCTTCCACTGCCGCTTTCCACTCCCTCACCTTCTTCGACATTGCTAGTTTTTCTAGACTTGCTAGACTTATGCTTCTTCTTACCATCAATTGCCTCCCATTCTTCTTCATCCCCAGCCGCCCTATCACTTTTCAAGTCTGAACTATCCTCTCTATCACGTCTTGCGTGACTCCGACTGCTACGCTCAGGAGAATCCATTGAAATGGAGACGTATTTATTTACTTTTCCCTTGAAGAAACCGATACAAAATAAAGGTCGAATCCGGTGCAGGTTCCCACTATAAGCAGAATCTAACGAGACAAATATGTGTTACAGAAAACCGCAACGATTTCGGTTCTAAGAATTCAAATTATCAAAATAAAAATAAAAAAAGAGGCAAAGGAAGGTTGAAAGGTGAAATTACCTGTACAATCGTAAGGGACAAGCGAGACACAAAGGTGTTGAGAAAGACAGAATAATTTCACTTATTTTAGGGTTTCAGATACTGCCTTTTGGGGATTAGTTGATTCTGGAGAAAGCTTGTAAATAAAATAAGAATATAAAGAAACAATGAAAGGAGATTGAGGGAACTGAGGTGGAACGCCGGTGAATGACGGCGGCAGTATAGAAATAGGGTTTTAAGAATATGAGGACGAGGCGGCCGATTCAATCGAAGAAAGAATTGAATGGTGGTAGTTTTTCCCCTAAAGGGCAGTTTTTGCATTTGCGCCTACACCCTTCGTTTGGATAAACTACACCATTCACTACTAAACTTTACTTTCTTTCCTATTTTACTCGTATACTTTTAATATTTTCCATTTACTCAACAAACTTTCGAATTGCTCCTATTTTGGTCACTCGAATTATTTTATTATTATTTTTGCATGACATGACATTTATTATTATTATTTAATATAAAAATAAATGAAAATATAAAATTAAAATCAGACGATGGTCGTCCAATGTTCGTATCGTTAGATGCCACCGTCGACGGTCGTAGATGGTGATTGTTCAGTTCTAAATTCCATCGATCGCTTCATCTCGACCCCCTGAGTCTGAATTCGACCTCCATTTTTTCATAACATGCTCTGAATCTGATCAAAAGTGAGGAAAATGAAACACTCACCGCCGTAGATGGTGGTCGTTTGGTCTCATATTTCATAGGTCACTTCGCCTCGGCCCCCTAAGTTCGAATCCGACCTCCTAAGTTCGAATCCGACCTCCATTTTATTTGAACATACTCCGAAGTCCACAAATAAGATAACGAAAGTGAGGAAATCCCAATGTTTTAGCTGAGATTCACGAGTTTTAGGACATTTTTCGGTGAAACAACCACCAGATTCGGACTCAACGTGTCAAAGCAAGCCTCTCGGTACAATTTGGAATCAAACAGTTGTCGATTCCGAATGCCAACGATCATCGATGGTGATGAGAAGGGGCGGAAGGAGCAATGATTATATTAAAGCTTTTTAAATTTAATAATAAAAATATTATTTTATTATTTATTTTATTATTTATTTTTATATTTTAATAATGATAAAAATACCACGTCATAAAATAATAATAATAAAATAATTTAATGTGATCAAAACATGAATAATTTAAAAATTTAGAGAAGTAAATTGAAAAAATTAAAAGTATATTAAGTAAAATATGAGAGAGCAAAGAACAGGGATTAATGTTATAGTTTATCCCGTTGCCTTTTAGAGTTTGGAGCTCACAATTCATAAGTCTAAGATATCTAGGGATGGGCATTTATCCATATCCAATGTGTTTCAACTTGATTTAATCTTATAGAAACAGATTTAAAAAGAAATTAAATTTGAGTCATGCTAATTCTTTTTAAGAACAAACTCATATCAAGTTAGGTTTAGTTTAAGATAAAAAAAAACTCTGATCTGACTTATCCTGAGATAATGGTATAATCAATTATTATATATTTAACGATAATTATAATAATATCTATTTCTATAAAAAAAATTCATTTAAATCTCTATTTTATAAGTTTTAAGTTTTTTGAGCTCGAGACAAACTTTAATTTTTTATTTTGAGTTCGAGTTGGTCTTGATAATTTTTAACACCTCGAGCTTTTCAACGAGTCGATATTAATTTAAAATTTTTCAAGTTCGAGTCGAGATTAACAATGCTCAAAATCAACTCCTCTCGTTTACACTCATAGTAGAAAGAATGTTGCAAAATCATATCTTAATTCTAGGTTGAATTATTGATATTTAAATAACATAATTAAAATATAAAAAAATTCTTAAAATAGTTGAATCAACAATGATTAAATTAACTTGATTATTGCAATAAAATTTAACATTTAGTACATTCAAGTATGATTGACGGTAAAATATGAGTTATGATGATCAAGAGCATTCCACTTTTTTAATTTAAACGAAGAGTTATAGCTTCTGATTCTGTAAGAGAGAAAGAGATAAGAATCATATGATAATATGTGGAAGAATATTAATAGTAGAGAGAGTTAGGATTTTGAGGGGGAAAAGAGAGTGAGTCCTTTTATTTTGTACGGCAACTTATATATCTCATCTTAGTATCGGTGTCAAACTTAGGGTAATGATGGTTATTTGTAAGTCAACAAGATGTGTAGACCTAACAATCATATAATAGATTTAGTCGGTGATAGAATTGACAACGTTCATATAAAAAAATCGTAACATTTTAGGGGACATGAAATTTCGCAGGCTTTTTAGGGACTCTGAAGGTTTTGATAGGTGAAGAATTAACAACGGATATATGATTTACGAAGAAGATCAAAATATCCCAAGGAGATACATCAAATATAAAATATCATAGCATTCAACACATTTGAAGGATCTCGTTAACCCATCATTTAGCACTGATGACAATGTTATATCCTTTAGATGAAGATACAACCTCTATAGTCATTGTTTGTCACCCCTTGGCCTTCCATTGATAACAGGGGATAAAGATATATCACTTTTCTTCTTCTTCTTTTGCATACAAATTAGCAACACGTTTGTATGTTTGGTTGTGAGTTATCTGAGCTTAAACAAGAGAAATTTTAGAAATAAGCTTGTGAGCTGAACTCTTACATTACAATGGTCCAATATGTGTAATAAAGTTGTATTGTGTGGGTGGTTGTTGGAAGTTGGAACTGTATGATTGTGCATCGTGTGAAAACTCCAAATATTATTGATTAGAATATAGAGAATAGTGATGGTGGTGGTTGGTTATATAACAAGATATTAGCCAATATATCTTGATTGAAGAGGCCCATGGTTAGTTAAAGCTGTGAAATAGAAGCAACAAACCCACAATTATCATTATTAATCTTACCTAAATATGAATGCATCCCGTAACTCACCATTTTAACACACTAGTGTAAATGTTTTAAAATCTATATCTCTTAACGACAAAGTATGTTATATTTTTAAGAGAAGAATCTAGGTTCAGATACTCTAAAAGATATTTACTAAATTTTGAGTGTAAATAGAGGAATTTTTTTTTTGATAATACAAGCATTCCCTCCTGTTGGGAAATAAACCAAGTACAAGTAATTTTCCTATAGTCAGATTTGTGAGAATACGAAATAAAAGCGAAAAAATAATACCCGAAATTGATAACGGAGTTCAGCCAATTGTTCTTACGTCTCCGGACTGCTGCAGATCTTTTACTAAGAGAGAAAATTTACAGGTGTTTACAAAACACTCACTACTCACAAGAAAGCTCTCTAGTATTGGGAGAAAGAAATGATTTTTGGGATGGTTTTGAAACTAAATGAGCTAGGGTATTTATAGTTGAAACTTAAGGACTTAATCTTATAAATACCCTAAAACCTAGGGATTAATTGTGATTATCCCATTATTATTTTTCAACAAACATCTACCAAACTTTGAAAAACTATTTTTCAAAGAAACATTTACCAAACTTTGAAAACCATTTTCAAAGAAACATTTACCAAACTTTGAAAACCATTTTTTCAAGGTTGGTTACCAAACTTGAAAACCATTTTAATAATTTCAACAATCTCCCACTTGAAGACTGATTTTAATCTGTCTTCACACCTCGATCAATGCAACAGCTTTTCTAGTCTTGTTACTCTAGCATGCCAACTGAAGTTGAACACAACTTCAGTTTGTCTGTAGTCACCGTCTTTGTCAACATGTCTGCCGGATTTTGAGCTCCACTGATCTTTTCAAGTTTCAAAATCCCATCTTCCAGAAGAGACCGGATAAAATGATATCACAATTGTATGTGCTTTGTCCTAGAATGAAAAGACGGATTCTTTGCTAGATGTATATCACTTTGACTGTCACAATACAAGACATTGTTTTCTTGTTTCTTGCCTAACTCTTCCAAGAAACTTTAGAGCCAAACCATCTCCTTACTGGCTTCCGTAACAACGACATATTCTGCTTCAGTTGTGGAGAGAGCAACTATCTTCTGTAGTTGAGAAACCTAACTCACTGCGGTTCCTTCTAGAGTATAGATATACCCTGTAGTGCTCCTTCTGATGTCAATATTTCCGGCTAAGTCAGCATCTACATAGCCTGTCAGTATCGTATCTCCACCTTTGAAACAAAGTGCTTTGTTTGTGGTACCCCGCAGATATCCGAGGATCCATTTGACTGCTTCCCAGTGTACCTTGCCCGGATTATTCATGTACATGCTAACAACTCCCACTGCTTGAGCAATATATGGTCTGGTACAAACCATGGCATACATCAGACTTCCAATCGTTGAGGCATACGGTACCTTCACCATGTGTGCACGTTCTTCCTCCGTCTTTGGTGACTGTTCTTTGGAGAGTCTGAAATGAACACCTAAAGGTGTACTTATTGGTTTAGCATCTTGCATGTTGAACCTGGAGAGTACTTTGTTGATGTACTCAGCCTGTGATAATATCAAAGTCCCCGACTTTGTGTCTCTCTTGATCCTCATCCCAAGAATCTGCTTTGCAGCGCCCAGATCCTTCATAGCAAACTGCTTTGACAATTTTTGCTTCAAGTTTATAATCTCTTGCATGTCTGAGCCTGCAACGAGCATGTCATCAACGTACAACAATAAAATAATGAAGCTATTATCGAACCTCTTAATGTAGCAACAATGATCTGCTTGGCATCTGGTAAAACCAATGCTACTCATGAAACTATCGAACTTCTTGTACCACTGTCTAGGAGCTTGTTTTAAACCATACAAGCTCTTCTTCAACTTGCATACCAGGTTTTTCTTGCCTACCTCTATGAAGCCTTCTGGCTGCCTCATATAGATTTCTTCCTCCAAATCACCATGAAGGAAAGTTGCCTTTACATCTAACTGCTCAAGATGTAAATTCTCTGCAGCTACAATTTTCAACACCAGTCTGATAGTAGACAGTTTCACGACTGGAGAGAAAATTTCATTGTAGTCAATACCTTCTTTTTGCTGAAAACCTTTGACAACCAATCTCGCTTTGTAGCATTTGCTCTCATCGTGCTCTTCTTTGATCCTGTAAATCCACTTGTTGTGAAGCGCTTTCTTGCCTGGTGGTAATTCAGCTAATTCCCACGTTTGATTTGACAAAAGCGAGTCCATCTCATCTTTCATGGAAGACTCCCACTTGACTGAATCCTCCACTTGCATTGCTTCATCATAGCACTCTGGTTCACCATTGTCAGTCAGCAACAAGTAGTGCAAAGAAGGAGAATACCGTTGGGTTGGTTTAGGAATTCTGGAGGAGCGTCTTAGTTCCGGTGTGCCTAGTTCTTCTTGAACTGCTTCAGGACTGATCTGAACATCATTTCCAAAAATCTCCTCAAACTCAGCAAATTCCTTTGTTTCAGCTTTGGTATTGGAGCTGCTTGATTCTACAGTTGACCTGTCTTTGTACATCACATTCTCATTGAAAATGACATCTCTGCTTCTAATGATCTTCCGATTTTCATAGTCCCAAAACCGGTAACTGAACTCATCACCGTCGTAACCAACAAAGGAACATTTTTTGGACTTAGCATCAAGTTTACTTCTTTCAGCAGAGTCTATGTGTACATAAGAAATACAACCAAACACTCTTAAGTGTGAAAGGTTTATTTCTTTCTTGCTCCAAACTTCCTCTAGTATTCTGCCATCCAAAGGAACTGAGGGCCCACGGTTGATCAAGTAAGTTGCAGTGTTGATAGCTTCAGCCCATAGAAATTTGGGCAATCCGGCATGTATCATCATGCTTCTGGCACGTTCATTCAGAGTTCTGTTCATGCGTTCTGCTACGCCATTCTGCTGCGGTGTCATGGGAACTGTTGTCTCCATCTTGATTCCATTGTTTGCGCAAAAATCTCTGAATCTCCTATTTCTGTACTCTCCTCCATTGTCAGACCTCAACCGCTTGACTTTCATACCAGTCTCGTTTTCCACCATGGCCTTCCATTTTCTGAAGGTATCAAAGACTTCTGATTTTTTCTTCATAAAATAAACCCACACCTTCCTTGTAGAATCATCGATGAAGGTGACATAATATAATGAGCCTGCAAGAGATGGAACTGGAGATGGTCCCCATACATCAGTATGAACCAATTATAACCTTTCTGCCTTGGGTGTCTTGCCAATCTTTGCAAAACTGACTTTCTTTTGTTTGCCAAAGATGCAATCCTCGCATAGTCCGACATCTACATTCTTTAGATCTGGCAGCTTCCCCTTTGACTAAAGTGTCTTCATCCATTTCTCGCTCATATGGCCAAGCCTTTGGTGCCATAGGTTTGATTTTCCATCAGCATCTGCTACTGTAATGATATTCTCTAAATTTGAGGTTACATAGAGAGTATCAGTCTTCTTACCACGAGCAATGACGAGTGCTCCTTTGGTAATCTTCCATTCACAACCTGAAAAGGTTGTATTGCATCCTTCTCCGTCAAGCTGTCCTACAGAAATCAAATTTCTTTTGAGATTAGGAATATGTCTCACTCCTGTCAGCTTCCAGGTGGTCTGTTTTTGCAGCTTTAGTCGGATGTCTCCTTTTCCGACGATCTTCAAGGTTTCATCATCAGCAAGATGAACCTTCCCAAAATCACCACTGACATAGTTCTCCATGATTTCTTGGCATGGCGTGGAGTGGAAAGATGCCCCTGAATCCAAAATCCATGATTCAATCGGACTGTTGACGCTTAAAATCATGGCATCACCTGTCTCCTCCGTCATGTTGGCAGATTCCTGTGCGCCGGTATTTTTCTTCGGTGCTCGGCAATCTCTTTTGAAGTGACCCTTCTTGCCGCAATTATAACAGGTAAAATCTTTATTTCCTGTTCTTGATTTTCCCCTTCTGGATTTCGATCTGCCACGATTTGAATTTCTTTCTGAAGTTCTCCCTATGGACTCCGTGTGCAAGGCTGAGGAGGTTGATGCTTCACCCGATTCTCTCCGTCGAATTTCTTCGCTCAGTACCAGATCCCGAACATCGTCGAATTTTAATTTGCTGTTTCCCGACGAACTGCTGACTGCTGTAACAATAGCATTCCAACTGTCTGGTAAAGATGATAAGAGAATTAAAGCTCGAACTTCATCATCAAATTCAATTTTCACTGAACTCAACTGGGTTGTGATTGTGTTGAGTTCATTTAGGTGTTGTGCCACCGATGCCCATTCCGTCATCCGCAAATTGAATAATCGCCTCATCAAATGAACTTTGTTTGAGGCCGATGGCTTCTCATACATACTGGAGAGAGTCGTCATAACACCCGCCATGGTCTTTTCCTTTGCTATGTTGAAAGCAATATTGCGGGATAATGTTAGTCGGATAACTCCGAGGGCTTGTTTGTCGAGAAGAGCCCAGTCATCATTCTTCATGCCCTCTGGTTGCTTTCCTGAAAGAGGTTGATATAGATTTTTCTGGTACAGAAAATCTTCAATCTGCATCTTCCAAAAGCCAAAGTCCGCACCATCGAACTTTTCAATTTTCACCTTCCCTTCTTCTGCAGCCATCGCTCCCACTCGAATCTGGCTTCGTTTGGATCGTTTCTGACAATTTTTGCGAACCGCCGTGTATTAGAACACATCCGTCGACAAACTCGTATCGCCAACCGAATTTCACTATTCACGTGAATAATAACCCGAATAGTAACCTCGAAAAAAATTGACAAAATTCACAACCCAAAAGCTCTGATACCAGTTGTTGGGAAATAAATCAAGTACAAGTAATTTCCCTATAGTCAGATTTGTGAGAATACAAAATAAAAGCGAAAAAATAATACCCGAAATTGATAACGGAGTTCAGCCAATTGTTCTTACGTCTCCGAACTGCTGCAGATCTTTTACTAAGAGAGAAAATTTACAGGTGTTTACAAAACACTCACTACTCACAAGAAAGCTCTCTAGTATTGGGAGAAAGAAATGATTTTTGGGATGGTTTTGAAACTAAATGAGCTAGGGTATTTATAGTTGAAACTTAAGGACTTAATCTTGTAAATACCCTAAAACCTAGGGATTAATTGTGATTATCCCATTATCATTTTTCAACAAACATCTACCAAACTTTGAAAAACTATTTTTCAAAGAAACATTTACCAAACTTTGAAAACCATTTTCAAAGAATATTTACCAATCTTTGAAAACTATTTTTTCAAAATTGATTACCTAAATATGAATGCATCCCGTAACTCACCATTTTAACACACTAGTGTAACTGTTTTAAAATCTATATCTCTTAACGACAAAGTATGTTATATTTTTAAGAGAGGAATCTAGGTTCAGATACTCTAAAAGATATTTACTAAATTTTGAGTGTAAATAGAGGAATTTTTTTTTTTTTTTTGATAATACAAGCATTCCCTCCAACCAAACACCTTTTGCCCCCACTAGTCTTTGTAACTAAAATCTCCATATAAATGTCTTTATTTTATCCTTATTTCTCACCTTTTCTTTCTTCTACGCCAACCATCTTCCAATCTAAACGCCACCTTCGCCACGGTGGAGAACACTAACTATGTGTCGCCGGCGGCATCTCCATTTCAATATTATTATGATCAAGATCTAACCACCGACTTCTCCTCGATATATAACTTCATTTTCTCACCCAGTTCTACTCTCCCTCAGTCCCTTTCCATCACCCCTTCCTCTTGCTCTTCCTCCGATGACATCAAGCATGCTTCCGATGATGTAGCCACCGAGCACCGCCTGAACCACGCTCGTCTCATCCTTGAGTATCAACAACTGAGTGACCACTTCGACCTTTGCTTTTCTCGCCTACATGCACTCATGGGAGCTTGAATCGTTCCGTAAAGAGAACAGAGATCTTCGGGTGGCCAACACTGAGTTGATCAAGCTTCTGCACCCGTCGTCCCAAGCAACTGCCATGAATAACAGAAATATCCAATGCGAAAAACTGCCGGACCTAAACACAAAATATGGGAGAGGGGACAGAAGAATTCAGTTCCCAAGAGCGTTACTTATCATAAGGTCAACCAACACTCGGTGGGAAGAAGAGAAGAGAAGGGCATTGAAATGGAGATATACAATCAAGGAATGGTGAAGACGGAGCTCTCCAACAAATGGCAAGAGACAGGGTCATGCCCTTACGGCGACCATTTCCAGTTTGCCCATGGTATCGCTAAGCTACGTCCGGTTATTAGGCATCCAAGGTACAAGACTCAGGTTTGCCGGGTGGTCCTTGCCGGCGAGGCCTGTCCATACGGTCACAGTTGCCACTTCGGCCATTCCCTTACGGAACAAGAGCAACTATTACTCTCGCCCTAATTCTTATTACTCATCTATAAAATTAATGTAAATATCTTAATTCGGGAATTTCATAGCATGGAAATAAGTTTCCGATGTCGTAATTATAATACAGTAATATTTGGTAATCAATGGACAATGGGGTTATACACCAAACTTACGTGGGAAAGGAACTGTTTTTGGTTGTACGTTATGCAAGGGAATTGTTTCTAAGAGGAATCGATTTGTAATCAGTAAAATAATTCAAAATACTTCTCTTCTGTTTCTAAACTTCAAATTTTATTTTCTTTTTATCGTGTCATTTTTTTGAAATTTTGAATTTAAGTAATTAAGTTTAAATTAATAGTTAGATAGTATTGGTGCAATTGTTTCAGACGATGATCAAATATACGGTATTAGGTATAATACTCAAATAAAAAGCGTAGACAAAAAAAAGCATACAAGAGTTGTTTACGCATATCAGATTGAAATAGCGAATTTATATCTATAGAGATTTTGGTGGGCGGGTCTTTGAGCGGGAATTTTTTGCATATAAGACCTCAAACTCGAAAGTGATATCAAATTGTTTACTACTTGAACCAACCGTAGTTGATTAAATATCATGTTTGTATTGATCAGATAAGAATCAAACTTGGTATCCTATTTCATTGATGGCGAATTATTTATTAAGTACCGTATTTGCTTTTGAATCAGAATTCAGTATAGATGACAAAGATATCAAAAAGAAAGAAAGAAAAAGAATAGAGAAGAAGATTTTGGCTAAGATCTCATAGTGCAAAAATATTTATTAGCTCTTGGATATTTGGAAGTGGTAACGGTGCAATATCCTTCAGCTTCCATCTTCACTTGTGTTCTTAGAATTCAAGTATAGATATGCATGATTCTATATTAGTGAGAATAAATTTATAAAATTTTAGGGGTAAAAATAGGTTATTGATAGAAAATATTAAGTTATATAAGAAATTTAAAATTTCACCCCCCACTAGCCCTCTCCATCTATCTCTGTTATGATCCAAATTCGAATAGAGCATAGTTGGTTCAGGATAATGCACTGTCACCTGCAAATGTTCCCAGAAATATTCTCTCCCTTGCCTTGGTAGCCTGCAAAGCCATATATGCATTTAGATAGAGTAAGCAGGCAGTAGAGTTGAAGCATTTGAGAAGAAAAGTAAAAGCATTGAAACCTGCTTCTTCCAATTTGTAAAAGCAATGAAAAAGGCAAGAAGAAGGCCTTGAACGAGCAGCAAAAGCTCATGTACATAATGTTCCCCTCTCAGATTTCTATGGTGAAAGGTGGCCTGCCCACTTGCCCCTAATCAGCTCCAACCAAAATTGCTTTGTAACTATTGTTGACATGATATGTTTTATCATCTCTACGCTAATTGGTAGCAAGAAAAACATCATTGTCATCTCATGTATAGTGGCATCCATGCAATTCCATTTAATAATTAAAAGTCATGACGTTAAAAATAACCCTAAAAAGGGCCATTTCTCTCAAATAGATGAGCAAATTAAAGACAATAACTTAAAGCTACCTAATATCAAATAACCCTAATTTGTAGTTTTATCATCTCTACATAAATGTTATTTTATTCGAAAAAAGTAAAAAATTTCTAAAACCCAATATTTACAGTGAGATTGATCATTAAAGTTCAAACAAACATAAATGATAAAAAGGGAAGAATCTCTCAAATAGATGATCAAATTTCTAAACTCATCACCAATAGTTACTAAGAGCAAAAAAGTCCAGCAGTTACTAATTTGCATGACATGGCTGCATGATCAAATTTCTAAAACCCAATATTTGTAGTAAAGATGTAAAACCCAAATCTTTATTCAAAATTTGCATGGCATGGCTGCCATTCTCATCTCATCTCATTTCATGCTAATTACTAATTTTCTCATCTCATTTGAATTTCTAGTAAAGATGTAAAACCACTTTGCTCAATTTAATTGGGAGAATTGTACTCGTTTAAGGCATGGCTGCATCGAGAAAACAACAATTAAAACCCTAAACCAAGAAACAACTAAATGATAGTTACTAATTTTCTCTGAAATTGAAACCCTAAATCTAACAATAGGTTGAATAGAAACATGATTTTCACATATATAAAATCAGCAGAAAATCAAAAACAAAAAGAGAAAATACTTACCTTAATAAAATTGAAATTCTTCACTCTTACAAAGCACCGATTGTGAGAAGACAAGTTTAAAAAATGGAACTCTTGAAGGCATAAACTGAAAAAGAAAGATTTGAGTTTTAGTGGGTGATGAAATGGGTGATGAAATGATGAACTAAAACTCCATAAAATTCAATTTTTTGCACGAAAATGAAGAGAGAGAGAAAAACTTACCTTTCTTTCGTGAGTTCTCTACGCAGAGACACAATGAAAAACTAAGACTGTTGGATAGCTGCCTATTGGTAGTACAAAAGCTCACTAAACAAAGTCACAAATGGTGAAAGAACTTTAAACTTAGTACTTCATTTACAGTATTCTGTACGAAATGAGTGACATGATAACCTAACTTGTGGTAACAACGCAAAGCCCTTCCGTAGCAAACCTTTGGAACCCTTAACCTTGTGGTTCAAAAGACCCTACAAAAATTCAGTTTAGTGATCCAATCGAACTGAAGTCACGGTAGAGCTGAAATACCTCAAGATTGCATTCAATTCAACAATCTCCAAATTTTAAGCAGAAACTGTCTAGCATCAATACTCACAATGTTATGTATAATTAAATGACACCCCGAGATGAAATCGTTGAACTCTTTAACACCCCGACCCTCTCTTAACCAATGCTCCATGACCTCTGATATTCCAGTCCAAACAAATCATTTTACAAAACTCAACGCATCATAACGGGAGTTTACTTTGAATCTAGCAAAAACCGAAACCTCTCTTAACCAAACTACACTCAATGAAGTTACCCGACATGGGATTTGGACTAAATTACTCAACAAAGCTTGCCAAGAGTTCCTAAACTATGGAAATAAATGCAAGAAAAGAGACCATTTATGTATAATTTACTTCAACTCATGATGAATGTCATTACCACAAGACAAACAAGTATGGATGCGAATGTATCATACAAGCTCAAAATGTCAGCAGGTTATTCAACCTGAAGCAAATACTTTGAGTTAGCAAATCACTTCAATATCATAACTAAAATTATTGCATACCAAATCATACATACATTGGTCATGTACTTTCAATTAAAACCAGATTCTAATCATTAGCATGTTTAAACCAGCTTTTTCAGCAATGAAGCTAATGTCATGTGCAATACAGAGCTCATAAGCACAAAAGCACTTAAAAACATTAGAGAAATGCATATTTATTTCATCAGAACCCTATTTAATGCTAGCATAACCAAGCAGAAGTGATAAACTTACTTCATCAAACATTTATCGAACACCTTTTTTGATATTCCGTTAAATTTCTTCGAAATTTCTTGGATTTGATTTCCTAATTCATATTCAATAACTGTCTAAAACAACATTCCCTTAATTACGAAACATCATTCGTGTTCAGTAAAAAACATTTCGTGTTCAGTAAAAAACTAATTGTTCGTTAAGTTTGTTAAATTAACTCCACTCGAGCATGAGGAAACAAATCCAACCAGGAAAAGAAACTAGAACCCTATGAAGCTTCGAATAGACTAAGAGAACAAAAATTGAACAGAGTTTACTAACCTTTGAACAGAACTAAGATCTGAAGGCCTACCAAAAATTGAGTCACCAATGAGCTTTGCCAAATCTGGATTCCCTCGTTGAAAACTTTCGTTGGAGGTTTAACGACAAGAACCCTATCTAAAATTTAAGGAGGAATAAACTGCAATGGTTGGTCTTCTCCAACCGCAAACAAATGCCTGTAACTTAGTTTCCCTGACCCAGCACCGACTTCCAAAGAACGAGAATCAAAATGGGAAAAGGAAATCTAGAAAGAAAAATAAACAAGTGATAGATCAACTAACCGTTTGTTCACAAAATTATAAATTCGTAATGAATAGGTATGGAGAATCAAAATGAAGAGAAGCTGTTGTATATACTAATCGTTTGTTCTCGCACTGCTAATTCGAGGAAGAAGATTTGGGGATAAAATAAATAAGGGGTTCGGGCTGAGCAATTAGGGATATCTGATAAATTAAAGGACAATTGTGGCGTTTATATTAAAAACGCCGCAAAATAACTACTCTATTGTTGCGTTTTTTACGAAAACGCCACTAAGGAACTATTCTATTGCGGCGTTTTAGGAACAAACGCCACTATATGTGTAATATATTACGGCGTTTTTTTGTCAAAACGCCGCCAATTTACCGCTCTATTGCGGCGTTTTGACTCAATCGCCGCAAAATTTATACTCTATTGTGGCGTTTGTGGTAAAAACGCTGCCAGTTTACCACTATATTGCGGCGTTTTGGCTAAATCGCCGCAAAATTTATAATCTATTGAAGCGTTTGTGATATAAACGCCGCTAATTTAGCACCCTATTGCGGCGTTTTTCTAAAACCGCCGCTATATGTCAATTATATTGCAGCGTTTTTACTAAAAACGCCGCTAAAGTATCAATTAGTGGCGCTACGATTGTAAACGCTACTATATGTTTAACTTTTGTGGCATTTTCTCTCCAAACGCCGCTAAAAACGACGCTACATATCAGTTTTGCTGTAGTGAACATTCCAATCCACAGGCCTTCCGCTCTTAATTTCAAAACAAAACCACATAAAATCCCTGCCGGAATCCCACCCAGATAATACGCCGCAAGATTAGCATAAGCTCCAATATGTTGCCACCCAATTCCTCTCACAATCCCTGCATGCACCACATATCAAATCAAATATATAGAGACAGAATCCGTTTACGCAATATAATTTTTTTGGGGGGGATACCGACCGCAACCAGTTGCATGTAAACCATCGGCAATAAATGAGAGGCAGACCAGGGGAACTATTTGTGCAACTTTGAGCACGACTTCGTTTTCACTGCTGTAAGCATATCCGAAAACATGGCGACAGCAGAAAAGAATTGAACTTGCAATGAGTGTTTCTAAGAGTGTATGGAGCACTGAGACGAAGGAGGTTACTTGAGCTGCCTGTGGATTTCCAGCTCCTAATGCATTTGAAATTCGTGTACTGTAAAGATGGTGACAGAATTATTGCACAAAATATCAGTTTATCATTGTTAATAAGCACACTTGGTGATCGAGTGTGTGTGTGTGTGTATAAAACTACGTGAACTAAATGTAATGGAAAAGATCAAACCTGGCAGCTATACTGATCCCAAGTGGTATATGATAATGCAATGAGTCGCTTGAAAGGCTGCAGATTAACAGAAACAGTTATAGTTAGAGGTATAGCTTTTTTTTGTAATAGTCTGGACTCTCGGGTGAATATAATGCACGTACATTCTGCAAACATTTTTTTTAATTAAAAGTCCTACAAAAACAGTTACTTTATAAAAATATAAACAGTTGCATACCATATAGAAAGAACTGAAGTTTCGAGCTTTGAATTTGGCAGAAGACCAGACATTAGTACAAGAATCTCAAAAGACCACCATTCGAGGCTGCAAAGAAGACCCGACACAGTAAGAATAAACAATAAACATGACAAAACGGACAGTCCCAAAGGATAATGATGCTGGTCGTTTACCAGGCCATTACAGCAGAAGGTACAGCGAACAGGAAAAACTCCTGGACACTCATGAAAACATCCTTCAACTGGAGGGTTCGGGTTTTCTGACATGATGATGAGTATCCCATGTAGAATCCGAGCAAAATCACGTTGAACCAATACGAGAAACTGATAGCCAATGCCGCCCCGGTATAACCGAATCCGGATTCGAATACCAAAACCCAGCAAAGGGACACATGGAAACACAGTGTTGCGATCGAGGTGTACAACAATGGAAGGACCAAGCTCTGGGATTGGAGGAAACGAACCTGAGATTGAAGAATGGAGTAGGCAAAGAGTGCAGGCATGAGGCACATTGCGTATCTATAAGCTATCTCTGCAACTTGAGGGTCTTGGCCGATCAGCACCAATAGTTTGTTCATGTACATCCAGAGGAGACACAGGGAGGCAAATCGGAAGGGCACATATTATGGAGCAATAAGTGTAGCTTCCTATTCTATGGTATTGCTTTGCTCCGTAGGCTTGTCCGTTTAGAGTTTCCAGTCCACCGGAAAGTCCGCACTGTTAGTCACAAAATATTATGCTTCCATTGTAATGAAGGCATTAAAGTGCAAAAAAAAAATGTAAGAGAAGTGTGTTTACAAGGAGGCTAAAGCCGGTGACATTGCAGAAAGCGGTGGCAATGGCAATACCGGACAACGGGAGCTCACCGAGGTGTCCGGCCATCGTCATCGACACGACCTTCAAAAGGTACTGCGAAAAAAGCCACCGTCAGAAATGGTGCGGCGACAAAGCTCAGTTTCTTGAGCTCTTCCAGCACGAGTTCCCATGTTAATATCTCCCATATCCTCCCTCCTTTCTTTGGAAGCAACGCCTCATCCATTTTTTTCTTTTTGTTGACGAAAGATCTCCCCACACTGTGATTAGTTCAAGTGCAATGCCCAAATTTCCATAAAAAACAATATAGAACTGATGATATTGTTTTCGGACAGTTGTCACTGATTATATTATTAATATTTTTATCAGTTACTCTGATCCTCGTGATTTTATTTTATTATGTAATTCATATTTTTTTTAAATATTATGTAACTGATTGTTGATTCAGAGATTAGATCTTATGTTTTGATCTGGGTGCAGTCCGGTTCCTAATATTATAAAACCGTAATTAAAGTTAAGTTTGGTATTACTTTTTTAAAATATATTTTTAAATTATTTTATAAAATTATTTTAAAGAAATTAATTTAAGATTGATATTATTAAAATTATTTTTGACGAGAAAAAATGGTTCTTTTTAAGTATAATAATATAAATTAGAAATACATTAATTTAATTAATGTTCATATGTAGTTATTATCATTATGATTTGTAAATGTAAAATAAATCAACTTAAAAATATTAAAAATATATGACAACGCATCAATAAACATATAATTATGAATTTTTTTCTATAACCATCTATACAAGAAACTAGTCGTTTAATATTACACAAAAACTATATAAGAAAAAGACTAAAAAATCCTAACAAAAAAAACTTGAACATAAGATAGATACGAACAGGTTTGACTGTATCGACAAAGAATGTAACCCCCCAGACCTAGCCTATAAGTTAAACCCAAACTTAAGTGGTCACATATCTCATTCAGAGTTTTTTTTATCTTATAATACATTAGAATAATAATACAAATATATCCAAAAACGATAGCAAATACATGTCACCAGATACAACGGAAAACATATAGAGATATATGTTCGTACAAAATAAGTAGTTGATCTCCCTTATGCCAAATATGCTAGCTTACGGTCTGTTGTTATCTGAAAAAGGGTAAAAACTATAGAATGAGCGAAAAGCCTAGTGTGTTCCATACAGTGTATATAAAAACATACTGATAAAAATATTCCCGTAATGTCGGTTTATGCAAGTATGTCGTTTTAAAAAAATATGAACACTACCCCCAGCCCATCACATCAGAATGTGTAGGTTTCCCAGAACCATACACCCAGCCCACACATCAAATAAGGCCATGAGCACAAAGCCGAGGAACCTGCGGATATACTTCCTTTAACAATACCCCTCCAATGATTGTTCATGAATGTATTTGAATGAAAACAATTATTAATTCTTTAAAACATAAAAGTGTTTATGCTTAAAAATCATATACAGAAATACGGAAATCAGAAGACAAGTCAGTAGTATACAAAATTTCAGATATCGGATAATCAATATTCAGAAAATCGATATAAAATACCGTAACCAGAGATCATATCAGAAATATGCGGTAAATCAGATATCAGATACATAATGTTCATATGTATATTTTAAAACAGAAATAATTAACACTGTCGGGAAACACACCTGTAACAGTCTGAGAAATCAGATAGGGAAGCTTATTACTGGGTTTGTCGATCACGTTCTACTGCAGCGCTAGATCCTACGAATTGGAAAAATCCAAATTGGAATCCTAATATAAATAATCTAAATATTATTTAAATAATATACGGAAACCTACGGGTAATTCTCGTAGTACGCAGTTCAGACTGATCTAACGAACGGATAACACCGGACCTAATTGATCATTGCTCAGGTGAAATACGAGTACCTTCATAAAATATTTTTATTGAATCAATCCTTGACCAAATCTCAATTAAATAATCAAAATATTAAAATATTAAGCCTTTTGGGTTTACAAGCTCGATTCGGGAATTTCGGGTCAAATTTTGACAAAACGGACTAAGGAATCAGATTCAGGACGTCGAAAAACATAAAGTATGACTTTCCAAAAATTTGAATTCTTGGTCAAAATCAAAGTCAACGGGTTTGACTGAAGATTCGGAGACTTTTGGTTTTGAATTTTGTGAAACCGACTCCAAAAACGGATTCAGAACGTCGAAAACTGTCAGGATAGGTATTCTCGGAAAAGATTAACGGCTATTTAATAGCCGGTCAAAGTTATGGTCAAAGGTGGTCAACAAATTGTCAATTATTTTACAGAAATAGCACATTTTTTAAAATAATTAGCAATCTAGCATCTTTTCAAATTAAATTGCCAAAATAGCAATTTTCGAATTAAATTCCCAAAATAGCACCTTTTTCCGAATAAATTCCCAAAATAGCACACTTTTCGAATTAATTCCCAAAATAGCACCCATTTCAAATTAATTCTCAAAATATCACCCGGTCAACGGTCGGGTCGGGCCGGATCAACGAGTCGGGTCAAAAATGGTCAAACCCTTCGAAAAATCGGTTGAACCGGTCATTTCTGTCTTCCCCACACGCCGTCACTGTGCGTGGGGGCGCGTGAGACGCCTTCCGGCGTCCTAAAAATCATGAAAAAATTCCTAAAAATTATTTTGAGCGATTTCGAGATACTTACAAAGCTCGGTTTAAATTTTTGAACGGCGGAGAGCTCGATTCCAACAAATCAGAAACTTTGACTGCTTCACATCCACACGTGCCGTCGCCGCCGGAGAAACGGAGGACACCGGTAGACTCGGAACGGCACAAGGAACACGATGGTACGGGAGGTGTCGAAAACAGATCGACTATCGGCGATGAATTTAGGATTTTCTAGGCGGTTGTGCTAAAACAAACGTCGATGCTTTGACTTGAAATTCACGGTGTTTGGCAGCGTTTAACTTCAATTAACTTAAGGGATTTGTTCCTGACTCGATAACGAACACGATGGTAGTTTCAAAATGACGATCAGAATTCGGACGGCGTCGGGATCGTCATCGGAAGTTGAGGTTGGGAGAGGGAAATTTGGGAGAATATATGAGTAATTGGTTTCTGAAATCAGAAACCAATTGCCGTATATAATGCCCAACATTACCAACTTTTCTTGGGCAAATTCAGGGCTTGGTCCCTGAATTTACTTTAACTCTAAAACAAGCTACAAATTTTAAATTCTTTCAATTTAGTCCCTAAATTTTCACCAATAACACAATTAAATCTTCAAATTCCAATTAAATATTATTTTTGAAATTTTCAGGTTGTTACAATTCTCCCCCTCTACAAGAAATTTCATCCTCGAAATTTACCTTATGAAAATAGATGAGGGAATTGAGCCTCCATTGACTCCAAAGTCTCCCAAGTAGCTTCTGAGGGGCTACGATTACTCCACTGAACTTTGACCATTGGAATACGCCTATTCCGAAGAACTCGCTCATCCCTCTCTAAAACCTGAATAGGCTCTTCCTCATATGACAAATCAGGTCTCAGCTCTACCTCATCAACTTGAATGATGTGATCCGGATCTGGACGGTATCGCCTCAACATAGACACATGAAAAACATCATGAATTCGACTGAGCTGTGGAGGCAACTCAAGTTGATAAGCAACATGTCCGACTTTCTTCATAACACGATACGGCACAATAAATCTCGGACTCAGTTTACATTTACGTCCAAATCTCAATACCTTCTTCCATGAAGATACTTTAAGAAAAACCTGATCTTCAACCTCAAACTCGATATCCTTACGTCGCTTATCTGCATATGATTTATGCCTATCAAATGCCTCTCTTAAGCGATCACGGATCAGTCTGACAGTGTCTTCAGTCTCTCGAACCAAATCTGGACCCAAAGTTTTTCTATCATGTAACTCTGTCCAACATATAGGAGTACGTCATCTACATCCATACAGAACCTCGTAAGGTGCCATGCGAATACTCGCCTGATAACTATTATTGTAAGCAAACTCAGCCAATGGCAAGAAATCTTCCCAACTACCACGGAAATCAATCACACAACCCCGTAACATATCCTTCAACACCTGAATCACTCGCTCAGACTGTCCATCAGTCTGAGGATGAAAAGTTGTACTGAAATTCAAACGAGTACCCAGAGCCTCGTGCAAAGCTTTCCAGAACCTGAAAGTAAATCTCGGATCTCGATCAGATATGATAGACAACGGAACACCATGAAGTCTAACGATCTCATAAATGTACAACTTAGCCAGTTTGTCTAGAGAATAATTAACCCGAATAGGGATAAAATGCGCTGACTTGGTGAGTCGATCAACTATAACCCAAATAGAATCCTTTTTAGAAGGAGTCAGAGGAAGACCAGTAACGAAGTTCATCGTAATGCGCTCCCATTTCCACTCATGAATCTTGATTGACTGTAACAATCCAGATGGATGTTAGTGCTCTGCCTTAACCTGCTGAAAAGTCAAACATCTCGCCACAAAATCTGAAATATTTTTCTTCATACTAGTCCAAAAGTAAAGCTCCTTGAGATTATTATACATTTTGTCCCCGCCAGGAGGCCCATATGCATAGTATAAGAACTACTATGGGCCTCCTGAAGAATAACTCGCCTCAAATCATCATCTTTAGGTACGCAGTAACAACCATGAAAACACAAAATACCATCCTGATCCATAGTATACTCTGAACTTGAACCTTGTTTAACTTGCTCAATAATGGAAAGCAATGAGCTATCCAGAAGTTGTTTGGTCTTAATCTCCTCGGCCAAAGTAGGCTTAACCTGCAACTCTGCTAACAGACTATTATCATCAAATAAACTCAAGTTGGCGAATAAGGCTATGAGATCTGATATCGCCTTACGGCTCAAGGCATCTGCCACTACATTAGCTTTCCCCGGATAATATTCTATCTCCAAATCGTAGTCATTTAGAAGCTCCAACCAGCGACGCTGTCTCAAATTCAATTCTTTCTGAGTAAGCAGATATTTCAGACTCTTATGATCAGTATAAATATAACATTTTTCTCTGTATAGGTAGTGTCTCCAGATCTTTAAAGCAAAAAACTACGGCAGCTAACTCCAGATCGTAGATAGGATAGTTACGCTCATGCGGCTTTAATTGACGCGAATCATAAGCGACAACCTTCCTATCTTGCATCAAAACACAGCCTAATCCAGA